GACTACCAATCCAGATGGCCCGGTATGGTATACTTTTGTATCCTTTTCTTCTAGCAAACCCAGCGTCCTGGTTGGTTATGTGCTCCTCTACACATATTTGTTGTCCAGTTTAATCTTTGGTTCCTATGAAGGTGTTTCATAGGCTTCAACTGGTCCAATAGTACTGTCGAAAGTTCATGCTACCTCTTTACTCAGGAATTTCCAAATGGGTTTCTGTTACCTCAGTTCCTTAGTCTTCTATGCCCAGTGGACTTATCATGGGTTTGTACCGAAGTCTTATGCAACACTGGTAACATTCCTCTATGGACGTGTAATGTTATATTTTGCATAGATGCCTTGAGCTCCCAAAGCCAAGAGAACCTGCCTGGTGTACCTGGGTAACAGCTATATAAGGCCAGCTGATCGACAGGAAACAGTTATTATAACACAGATATAATTTCCAAATTTCGTCATAGGTGGGATTTGAACCTTAGGCCTGCCACTTGGAAGATGACAACCCAACCACTATACTAGGATCGTCATCCTCTAACAATATATTATTTATTTAATAAAAATATAATAAAAATAAAATAAAATAAAAATTATTATATTTTAATAATATAATAATAATATATTACAAATAAAAAATAATATTTAATACTATTTAAATTTATTATATAATAAAAATAATTTTAAAATAATTTTAAAATATATTTATTATATAATTTTTATATATTATTTATTAAATAACAATATAATAAAAATAAAATAAAATAAAAATTATTATATTTTAATAATATAATAATAATATATTACAAGTAAAAAATAATATTTAACAATTTTGATCATTACATTCTCTCTAATGATCACTCAGACACAATAGCCAAAAGAAAAAAAGAAGATTTTTGCAAAATCGGTAATAAGAAACATCTTAAGTAACACTAGATAAAAAGAAGCAGTAACATAGAAAGCAATAAGAAGTATAGAAGGAAAGTGTGTTGCAAAAATAATAGTATAATTACAAAAAAAAAAGGAAAATTGGAAAAATTTTTTCAAAAAATAGCAATAATAAAGAATTGGCACTAGACCCTGTACATAGATCTGTTGACATTACACAAAAATGTGAAACAGCAAAACAAAACAGACACATGTAGACTACCAAACTAGAATAAATAGACAGGTTATGCAACAAGTAAATAAAGTTTGTATAAGAAAAATGAAGTAAATAGGAAATTTACAGAACTAATCAGAAATACATAGACATAAGTACAACATGAGATTAGAAGAGCATAGAGAAAGTCTATTAACAATTTTTATGAGAAGGGCATACTGGGTAATGAATAGAATACACAATAAAATATTCTTTAACCAGTCAAGTAAGACATATATAATGCTAGACAGAGAAGACAAAATCATTGTGATGCTTACAGAACAAAAACCAGAAAAAGTTGCATTGTTAAGAGTGATAAGAGAATTGATTGAAAAAGCAGAAAAAAAACAGCCAAAAAAGAAGTTAAACTTCACAGAGCAAGACAGAAACATGATGATAATTGAGATTAAAGAAAAAAACAAACAAGAAACAGAGAAATCAGCACAACAAGAAGCAATAAAGAAAAAGAAAGAACAAGGAAATATATATGAAGGAAACTAAAAAATTGAAAGAAGAACAGAAAAAGAAGATATGAACAAGAGAAGACTATCAGATGAAAACCTCAAGACAACAAAAGAAACAAGAACAGAGGTAAGTACAAAAAGCACAAACAGAATAAAAGAGAAATTATTAATACAGAGAACAGAAACTAGAAAAGAACAAACAAAAGAGACCAAACAAGAAAATATAGAAATAGATGATAAAAAATCAAGACAAGGTTCAACAATAAAAGAAAAAAAAAGAGGAAAAAGAAGAAAACAAGAAGTTGAAAAAGAAATAGATATAGTAGGAATCTCCTTAGAGGAAAGTATGTGAGCACCAAGCAAAAGAAACTGCAACAAAGACAACAGTCTATTAGCCAATATCCCTGTATACAATATATCTGGAGGTTCAAAAGAAGAGTGTATAAAGTTTATCAGCTAGTCATTAAAAGATAATGAACATATTAAAAACATTAGAAGTTTTTAAGTGAGGAAATTTATGGATTGAAGTAGACTTCAACTGTGAATTTGGCAGAAATAAAGCGATACAAAGAATTAGAAAAAAAGAAAATGACTGGTACAGAATGATACTAAAGAAAGATATTGAAAAAAGAAGAAAGAAGCAAAAGAAACTTGATGAAGATTACCAAGATAAAAGAAGCAGTATACCAAACAACAAAAAGAAAGGATATAGAAAAGGAAAAAACAAAGATGAACTAAAAGAAGGCCAAGGAAACAATGACAAAAAAACAAAAAACAGAAAGTTTATAACAATTTGGGACTTACCAACAAGTATAAATAAAAAAGAACTAGAATATATTTGTAAAAGATTCAAGAAAGCACAAGTGATAAAAATTAAGAGATACAAATTCAAGTCTCTCGCAGTAATCCAAATAGAAGAAATAGAAGAAGGAAGCATCTCATGATCTATATCAGTCAATAGTAACAAACTGGTAAGAGTGACAGAAGGAGAAGAAGACTATGAGACAAGACAAAAGCAAAGACAGTATACAGCAAAGTTAACAGAGCTGCCAAGTAATGCTTCAGAGGTTCTATTATTATAATGTTTAAAAAGTAAAGGTGCAAGATCAGTTTATATCTCACCAAATAGAAATAGAAATTAAAGAAAAACTGTAATAATTATATTTGCAACAAAAAAAGAGATAAAAACAACCTAGTTTAAACCAATCATGTATAACAACTTTCGAATATACTGGATAAATGAAAAGACAAAAGAAACAAAAAAAAGAAAAAATCCCAAAGGTAAAAGAGAAAAAAGTTGAGATAGAACTAGTCAAAATTTATAGAAAGAAAATACAGAAATGAAAAATAATCTTCAGATACAAACATAAAAGAATGGTTAGAAAATAAAAACAATGAGATAGAAAGAAGAAAAGAAATAAACAATAGAGAAAAAAGAGAAAGTAGCTAGGACAGAAATAGTTAATATTCAAACAGAAGATATGTAACAATGGAAAGTGATCCCCAACTACAGAATATTGGAGAATAGTTAGAAGACAAAAACACCAACATAGAAGAAGAAAGAGGAAACTTGAAAGTAGCAAAGATAAAATTAGATATACAATCTTATTCAGAAATTGAACAAATTGAGAACATTTTAGGTCAGATGTTAAACAGACTAAATAGATTGGAAAGTATACATCTAAGTACAAAAGAAGGTCTGACTGATCACTCCTAAGAGCACTCTAGTTGATCTCAAGAATACAGACAAGAAGATCAAAGACTTTCTGTAAAAAGAAAGAAGAATGTTTGAAAAAAAAGAAAAAAAATATCTTCTGGTCTTAGAAACAAAGAAAACAGAAAGTGGGAAGAAAGATTCAAAAATACAAAAATGATGCAGGAACAACTAAAGGAGAAGTACTTGTCAAATATTCAAATAAGTAAGTAATATCTAAATAAAGTAGCCTATAAGTAAAATATTAAATTTTATAAATAATTTATAATTTATATATATCATCAGAAAAAATGATAACTTCTTCAATAATCATTTAACTTGTTTGATAACTGAAACAACTAAATAAAAAATAATAATTATTTTGTTATAATTGTTATTGAAATTTTATTTTTTTGTAAAAATTTGTTGTATAAAATATTTATAATAATTTTGAAAAAAAAGTTAATGTTTAAATATTTGAAGATTGTGATTCATTATAAAAAAGAGGTAGTCTTCATAAATCTTCTGTTGGTTATTAGAAATTCTGTCAGATAATATACAAAATAAAGACATATTGTAACAAAAATATTTCAATAAGTGCAAAATTGTAAGCATAATATAAACAATTAAAAAGAAGTTTAGATAATAAGAATAAATTTTTAACTATTAATTTTTATTTAGAACATTTAAATAATAATAAAAGTTTAAAAAAATTTACATATGTAGAACATTTGAATTTAAAAATTATTTCTATATTCGGTTTTGATCATTATCCCAAATGAAGTAGAAATCCTTACAATTTTAAGGTTCTCTACGGAAGGTCAGGTTCAGTATACTTATTGTAAAAATATTTTGCAATGAACGGCGAACAAATGTGAAAAATAAACTGTAGTACGCGTTCATCCTTTTCTTGTCTGTGGGTGATAAATTCTCTGCAAGTTGAACGTGAAGAGGATTATGTAGCACTTTTTTCAGAAAGCGTTCTTTCCTCATTTTAGAACATTTAAACTTTCTTAAACACATCACTTTAAATGTAGATAATCTAAATCAGGGCATGGCAAAAATTCTATTTCATCGACTGAACTAGCACTTAGTTTTTCCTAATTGGAACCTGTACCATTTTAACGAAAAAACCTAGCTGTTATTGCGCCAAAATTTGATAATAAAAGATGGCATTTCGAAGAACTCCTGTTTTCACTTTATTCACATTTCATCACGTTTACCTTATCGAAAACCCTGTTAACCGTTTCGACATCTTTCACTTTATTTGAAAAATCTGATTATATAACGATAAGTCAATCGTTATTATAACTTTGATAACGTGTTGAAAATAAGTTTTAACGACAGATGCATAATGTATTATTAAATGAAAACTAACAATGTCAGTTTCTTCAGGACTAAATCTAATAGGTGAATTTTAGTGAACTCCTTACTCATAAATAATAAGTATTTTTATTATTATGCAAAATTATTGTATTTTTTTTACTTTTTATTTTTAAATTAAGCCTATGTTACAAATTTTTTTAAAAGAAATACATTGAGAAAAGCAATAGAAAATAAAATCTATACAAAAAGAATGTTCATTTTAAAAAATGAGTGTTTATGCTTTATCCATTTTACCAACCCAAATATATTTTTTTTGCAAATAATTTAATAATTAAAAAATGGTATTAAATCATTTCGAGTTTTATTATTTTTAAGTTCTGTTGGTACTTCATTTTGTGCTAGTTAAGAAATATTATGAATATTAAGATTCAAAATAATCAAAACAATTAGCCAAAAAAAAAAACAATAATACTTACAGTAATTGATATCAGTAACAAATCCGCCATTAACGTCACCAACACTAATTGAAATATTACTTGTGACATTAACTTTCAAGTCACCATGTACAGCATCCACTAAACTCTTTATAGCTTTAACACTAATTTTCAAGTCCAGTTCCATATCATTTGTTATCAGACTTTGACCATTTTGAACCACAATTTGAGTACTTTCATTAAATTGTTGATTAATTATTCCAATTAATTCATCTTTCACCATAACATTCGCATCAATTTTTAAAAATCTTATCACAGTGGCTAACGGATTAAATATTTCAATTGAAGCCTTCCCTTTTCGATCAAACAATGAATTAAATCTAATTGAGAAAAATGCCTTCTTTAATATTGGAGTTTCTGTCACAAGACCAGGCATCACAGTTGTCAATTCTATAGTTTCAAAAGCTTTTCGTAAAGGTTCTAATGAAGTAGAATTTTTATTTCCTTTGATCGTTACATTATTTGTTTTCCCTGCCAAGAAATTATTCAACAAATTCCGACCAACTTGTTGTTCTTCGTCACCATTTGGTGAAAATTGAGCAAGAACTGTAAGGTTGTTTTCACCACGATCAAGTACAAGATTTGGTATTATAACATTACCGATTCTTGTTTCATTACATATCAAATCAAATGTGACATCACTATTAAGAACGATTTTAACGTTTGATGGATTTGATAAACTAACTGATAATTCAATGTTTATATGATCATTAGATCCACCGGTAACTTTTAAAGAATTGATTACTGTTGGTGATGATGTAAGACCTTGAATTCCTCGAAGTGTTGTTTGGACATCGAATTTTATTCCTTCAATCGTTACATTACCAATCGAAGTATTGGACATCACATTTGCTATACCTTTCATTTTAAGTGTGACACTTTCCTCCAACGTTAATCTTTTAGCAAAATCATTAAAAATTTCTTCAGATCCTGGAATTACTTTAAATTGAGTTGGAGCAAAACTTGAAGTAAGATTTCCAGATTTAGAGTCACCAGAAGCTGGAGTATATGGGATACTAAGTGTCGCTAATTCTGTTTGACCATCAAATAATTCAATTTCCTGTGAAATTTGCTGTACATAAAGTTGAAATCCAAATGGAATACTAAAGGAAGCGGTGAGTAATGATGATGATGCAAGAGGAGTGTATTGATCCATTACATTAAACACAAGGTCTAAAGAATTTATGGAAACGTCATGAATAATGCTAAGATTTTTGCTTCCTGGAAAAATTACATTCAACACAGTTCCGTTAAATGCATCTTGAAGCCAAGAGATTGGAGCAGCAGAATTATTTGGTTTAACCGTCTTAGCAACAACATTAATTAAAGAATCTTCACCAGTAATAAATTTTGAAAATAAATCACTGACAGCCGCTACTCCTGCGGGTGAATTTTGAGGTAACAAACGACCTTCTAAAGAAAGTTTGTTATCACCCAACATAAGAGTGAAATTTTTTGAAAAAACTTGACCAATAGTTTGATTCATGTGATCAATATCAAACATTATATCACCTAATTCAACACTAATTTGGGAAGGATTATTTATCGTGGATATAATAAAGATCGCAATTCCACCATCAGGATGGTCATAAGGTGCATCAAAACTATTAACAGTTACATTTGGAAAATCATTCATTCCTATAAAAAATTTAAAAATATAAAGTATCAATTTAATAATTTAATTTATCAATTGAACGAAAACATCAATGATATTAGATGATATTAAAAAAATAAATAAATAAATAAAAAATACCATTCAAAGTAACATCTTTTGATAATTCAATGTCGTTAATGGTCAAACCAGAAACTTTAATCATAGAATTTCCTTCTAAATGCCAGGTAAATTCTTTTTCAGTCAACATAAATTTACTAAAGGTTGTAAAAGCACTCTTGTCCACTATTTTAAATAGTTCTGTATCTTCAAGAGTAGCACCATTAAAAGGTGTGGTGTTAATCGTGTCCAAAGCCATTCTACCTAATGTAACATTTTTAAAAGAGATAGTAACACCACTAGGAATTGATATGGATGCCGAGAGCGGACCAGTATTTGAGACTAAAGTATATACCCAAAATATGTAAAAAAGTAATAAAATAAAATTGAAAGGGAAATTTAAAAAATATATTTACCGGCACCGGTGAAGGACAAGGAAAAGCTATCTTCAGAAATGTTAGATAATTTTACATTATTGAATGATATTTTTGATTCAGCAACAATATTTCGAGCGATGGCAGGAGCAATCACAAACAAAAAGATAGGAATCATGATAAATATTATTAAAGCTAAAACTCCACAACACAAGCAGATTACTTTTTTTCTCTTTTTTAAAAATAGGGGTTCACTCTTATTATTATCAGGAATATCCTGTGAAGAAAAAGATTGAGGAGATGTTGAAAAATAAGATTTATGTCGATGAGCGTTTAAGGGTTCGTGTTGATCACTATTTAGATTAAAATCCTCAAAGTCGAGATCTCTTCTCTGGGTAGGGGTTTGATGAGGGTGTATAATATTAGAGCTACGTTTTGAAATAGAATTTCTAAAAGAGTTATTTGGAGAATTTGAGAATAAATCCGGAAATATTTTACTATATCTTTCAGAATTAGTGCTTGGGTCAATGCTGCTATTGTTGGAACTTTTCGATATATTTGGTTGTTGAGGTTGATGTAAATAGTTATTATTAATTATGTCGCTGTTCCGATTTTGGTTGGAAGGGAGAGAATAGGAAGAATGATCATAGGATTTTTGAGACTGAGATAGGCGTTCAGCGTCATTATTATTAGCATCATCTTCGTCATACATTTTGGTGGAATTGTGAGACATGGGCCTTTTAGGTTTATTTAAATAGCCGTATTTATTTCAAAAATTTTCTCGTTATTCGCTTTATTAACAAATAATGAGAAAATTTATTTTTAAAAATAAATTATTGCAAAAAATTAAAAGAACTTACCGATAACAAATTTTATCAGATTATGTCTTAGGAGGTCTACAAACTAGAGACAAGTGACATATTTATTAAGTAATCACCGAATGGCGATAAAGATCCAAAATTTAATTAACTTTTTATTCATGAGAAATCTAAAGAAAATGGGTGATTTTATTAAAAATATTCATCTATACATATTTAAAAATCGAAAATCTTTAATTACTTGATATTTTTGTTTCCCAAATTCAATTTACTTTTTAAGTACAAATTCGAATGAGTTTGTGCCTAAGTTACATGTACAATATATAACCGATGTCGTTATATATTTATTATTTTATATTTTCGGCTTACGTAATGACAAAATAGCGGCCGTTCATTACCTTTTTATATTTTTATATATAATCTTCCGAAATAAGATACAAGTACGTACCGGTACGTATTTACGTATTATAGATGTAAGTTAGATTATTTTCCCGATCTTCAGAATTCTTTATAATTTTAAGTATAGTCCATTTGGTCTGGTCTGGTCTAGTCTAGTCTAACGTTAATAATCATAGGTCGGTCGTTAATTATGAAATTATGAGTCGAACATGAAATTCAATAGCTAAATAAAAATGAATTACGCCATGTTTTCAACGTGACAAAATACTTTCCACTTACCTAAATTTCATTGTTTGTACACTTATAAATTTGTCAAATCCAACGGTAGCTTCTATATCTAGAACAATAATAACACCAATTATGTTTGAATTTTATTGACGTACAATTTAAAATATAATTACTCGAGCCAATCGATTGTCTTTTTTGCTTACGTGCGTAACATAAAGTTTTGTCAATTAAATCTTTTTCTAATGAATTTTTTTCAATAAAAATTGTAAATTATTCTCTATTCATTACATTAAAATAACTATTCAGCTCATTCAACTGTTTTATACATTTCATTCGCATAAATTTTAATTTCAAAGATATATCTGCTTTAGGCGAATTCTAGACCCATTCATGCGGATAATAAATTTTTTAACTTAGATATGAGTAGAATTCTAAGAAATACACAACGTATCATCTAACACTGTTTTCCAGTATTGGCATATGACATTTACGTCTTTATGACCAGTCATAGGTCATAGATTATATAATAGTATATTATATGACTTATGACTTCGGTCATAATCCTATTTAACAGAATTTACTTTTGCAATGATTAATAACCCGGAATTATAGCGATAATCTCGCGTATAATCCGTTCGTGATATGAATTATGCGCGAGACGTTTAGAACAAACTGCGAAATGCTCAATACTATGGGTAAATAATATCATATTCAAATACAAACGCGAAGATATTTAAAATTTTGTCATTATACTTTTACTTATCACTAATATACAGTATCTTTGTCATACCTCTCAAAACAATCTAATTCTGGTCAAATCTGCAGATCATTTGGCCCTGGATTATCAGTTTTAAAACCGATAAACCAGGGCTAAATAATCTGCAGATTTGACCAGAATTAGATCGTTTTGAAATGTATGACAAAAAAATCGGCCCATTTCGATGATAAGATCTATGAAATCGGGTTTATCTTAAATATTTAGCCGCCATAGGACTTTGGAGTGTGCGATATACCATGTAAATCAAAACTATATGTGGTCACTTAGAAATTTTAATTAGAACTGATTTTTTATGATTATATATATATATAATTACACGGCTCCTAATAATTCATCCATGACTTTTTTTACTGATATTTTCACTTGTCGGTTTTTAGATTGTATTAGGGAAATTTTATAAAAAGCTTTGTTAGTAAACAAGAAAGGAATCTTAAAAGAAAAAAAAGTTTATTTTGACGTGAGGAAAACACATTATTCAGAAAATCCGGGTTGATTTTAAGTCGATTTTTATGCATTTGATGATCGATTGTGCAAAATAAGTTTTTTTTTTATTACAAGAGTTTCAAGATGAATAAATTAATCAGTTTCATAACTTAGAAATTGGTTTCAAGTTCGGTTTTTCTTACATATATAACAAGTCAAATATTGAACAAATAATACTTTGGTTTCACAGTTAAAAACGTTTTATGAATAAAATCATTCTGTAAACAAAGAAGGCTTTCAAAACATTTAAATTTAGTGGGTTATTTTATTGAAAATATGGAAAAAAATCATCGCTTATATAATTAGTATGTACATTACTAAATAATAGTTATTTAATAAATAAAAATATCTTCTTTTAAGTACAAATTAAACTTAATATATGTTTTACTGTATTAATTGTATTTTATTTGCTTTTTTGTCTAATCGAATAAATAAAATAATATTTGAATTTTTATTATTATAAAATTTATAGTTCATATTTAATTAAAACTTTTACTTTTTTGATTAATATAATCAAATAGTAAGTTTTTTTTGAATTTCTGTTGTTTATAGATTTGTAATATTATTCTGCATTCTTCAATTTTTTTAATAATATTATTAATACATTAAAATTTTTTATAAAGTTATTATTATTTATTTTTTACTTATATAATTTTGATATTACATCTAATTTTTTTTTATAATAAATATATATATTTTTTATTTATTATATTTTGTAAAATGTTTAAACTAAAATCAATTTGAACAAAATTATAAATTGTATTTGAGGTTATTGATTAAATTAGTAATTAGTATTTTATTATTGTTAAAAACAAGTAGTAAATAATTATAATATTATAATATTCTAAAAAAATTAATTAAAAAATAATTATTATTTTTTTTATTTATAAAATGTTTATAAAAATAATAATAGTTATATAAATATATTAAATAAAATCATATTTAGTATTTTATATTAATATAATATTTTTTATATTAGACTAAATATTTGTTATTGTTGTTTTATATTATTTTATCTTAAATTTATATTATTATATTAAAGATAGAGAAGAAGTATGATGACCTAGTGAAGTAGATAGGTTGTCAACTCTTAAATAGTAGGTCCAAAGTTCAATTTTTATAGATGCCAAATTTTGAAAATTATATATATGTTACAGTAACTGTCTCTTGTCAATCAGTTGAATTTTGGGCATCTGTAATCTTAGGTACATTAAGTTAGATCTCACCTAACATTGGAGCTTAAGCATTTATGCAAAGTGTAATGTTATATATATATATAAAAATGTGAAAAATTGGTGTTATATAAGGTTTTGGTGCAAATCTGTGATAAGACCATCAGGCATAGAAGGCTAAGAACCTGAGAAGACAGAAACCCACTTGGAAATCCTTAGTAAAAAGGTAGCACAAACTTTTGATAGTAGTATTAGACTAATAGAAGTTCATAAAATGCCTTTATAGAAACTGTTAGATAAACTGAATAATAAGATGTATAGAGAAGCATATGACCAACCAGGTTGTCAAAATTACCAGAAGAAAAGAATATATACTGGGTTATCTGAATTGAAAGTTAAGAAGTCAGTTGGTTCTGAGCTGTAGTTAATAAAAGATGATAAAAAAAATTCAGAAAAATAAATACCAAGATTAAAGTAAGTTTTACAAGAGTAATAACAGTTTAATGCATAACTCTAATCACAAGTATTGGTCTTAGTCATAGCATCAAACTAGGTTAGCAGTAAAAGGAAATACAGCTCACTCTGATAGGTTTATCTTAAGAATAAAAATAGTCTAAAAATTATAGTTCTATAGTTAAAAGCAAATAGATCTGAGTCTATAATCTAATAAAATTAATACTAGAGTTAGATTAAAGAGTTTAAATAAAACATCTAAGCAGGTGTGTTAAGTATGACAACTAATGAGAAACCTTTGAATGAACTCCTTAAATAGGTAATATAGAAAAGTTATATGTATAGCTAGTTATACATTCATCTGATAGTTCAATATAAATATGTCTATATAAAACATATATCTAATATAAGTATTGTTATAGATGAAAGCCTTCTTAATTTTTACACTATAATGACAACATAGCACAAAGAATTCTTTACAGATATATGCAGTATTCAAGAGGGAAGTATAGCTTTTGTTAAACATTGTCAAGAAATTATACTCTTTTCTGAGACAGTTTAGAAAAGGTAATATAATACTAATAACTTTACTTTATTTCACTAAGAGAAGATAAACCTTGCCTGTAGGAATTATTCTAGAAGGGGAATATCAATATAGTTTATAGTCAAAAGCTGTTTATTAAAATAATAACAAGAAGAGCTATTCTTAGATTTTTGTTCCTAAAAAATTTTAAAATATGTTTATAATATTAAAGAGAAAAGAGGTATCTGTTGCTTAATCATACTTGAAGAATTTAGCAGAGTTTATATATTTGTAGGCTAAGCAGCTAAGTGGCCAAGCAACTAAGTGATTAAGTGACTAAGCATTAAGTAACTAAGTAACTAAGCAACTAAGCAACTAATTAATTACTAAGTAACTGAAAGATTCTAGCAACTAATGACTAATAATTACTAAGCAACTAATTACTAAGTGGCTAAACAACTAAGCAGCTAAGTGACTAAATAACTAAGTGACTAAGCGATTACTAATTAACCAGAAAGTTCTAGCAACTCTAGTAATAATAATAATAATACAATAATGAATTAACTAATACTAAATAATAATAATAATAAAATAATAAATTTTTTTTTTTTTGGTATTAAGGTGACCTCTTTGGTCTGAGCTTTTTATTAATACTTA